AAGTCGAGTTACCAACCCCCTGCCTCATGTCAAATGTCCATGTCGCTGCTTAGCCCGCATCACTGACCTCAGGAATGGGGCGTGGGGCTGGTTGTGGGGGGGTGGCTGGTCCAGAATGAGTCGAGCTGGGCCTGCTGCCACACTGGTCCTAAGTAAACTGAAAGGTAGGCATGGCTTGCAGTTCTAGCGTCCCAAACAAGAGGCGGTTTTCAGTGTCTCAGCCCTCTGGAGCAATTCTGCAGACGCACTGGACACTTGTAGAGAAGAAGCAGGGAGGACCCTCACACTATCCAAGTTTCCCAACGCCCATGATGCACTGTTTTCCTACTTAACAGCCAGTCCTAGAAGCTGCTAGAATAAGCTCTACTTGCTTCTGGAAAGCCCGCTTTCTCTGGCAACTACTGAAGGGCCACAGAGGAAGTCTGTCGGTGATTTCTCTGGTGACTATAACCTTGAAATCACCCTCCCCACAGGCTTGTTTCCTCATCAGTTGTGAACTAAGGCCCTTTCCTGTGTGAGCTTTGTTACTTTAAAAGTTGTGGGTGCCAGAGGAAGCTACCTTGTGTTTTGTTTTAAATCTTTTCCCATCTATAAATAATAATAATAATAACTTATTATCCCATCTCATAGATGCAAATTGTTATTGGAGGTTCCCATGAGATAATACATGAGAAACAGTGGTATAGAAAGCCAAGGTTATGGACAGGCAAGCTGTATTATTAAAGGACAATGGGAAACTGCGATTTAGTGCTGCCCCTCAAACCTGCTGCTTCTCTGGGTGCATTCATTCATTCATTCATTCATTCATTCATTCATTCATTCATTCATTCGAGACAGAGCCTCACTATATAGCACTGGCTGGTATGGAACTCAGTATGTAGACAAAGCTGGCCTCGAATTCCAGAGATCCACTTGTCTCTAGTGCTGGGATTAAAGGCGTGCAGCACTCCTGACTTCTCTGGGGGTTAGAAGCAGCGCTTTTGGGAGACAGCTCTGGCTTGATCACAATAGATTGAGCAGAGACTGTTCAGCACTGCCCACACCCACACCCACCGGGCACCTCTCCCTTCTCGCTCCTTGGGAATGTCTCGCTGCTCCCAGAGACTCAGCCTGCTTCTCAGGAGCTGGGGCAGGTCAGGCGCCTGGCTAGGCTGCTTCTGCCTAGGGATGATGACGATCAAGATCGCGCTCCTCCGGAAGGGGGGCTGGCTGGGGGGCGGGTGTTGGGCCACTAGGGTGACCCCTCCTCTCGGCAAAGCTGGCCCCAGAATCTGGACTCTCTTCTTCCCCGGGCAGGCGCAGCGTTGTTGCCTCCCTTTCCCCCCCACCCCGCCAGGCAGGTTGTTGGCGAGTTAGACCTCCCAGCCTCACGGGGCTGCTGTGCGGCTGCGGCGACGCTGGCGACTGCGGCGCTGCAGCAGAGACGAGGGCTCCAGAGGCGGCGCCACGTGAGTCTCTGGCTAGGGCCCCAGACTGGGAGGGAGATTACCGTATTTATCGAGGCCAGTGCGGGACCCTTGGGGGCGGGTCACTGCGGGCCTGCTACCGTATTTGCCCGGAGCCATGCAGCCCTTTCTGGGAGTGGCAGTGCCAAGACTTAATTACTTGTTTACTCGGGGTCGCGCGGGCCCGTGGGGGGCGCTGCGGGCACGGGGGTGGGTGGATTGCATGCGTTCCTCCAGGAGCTGGGGCTGGCAGCCCGGCAGGGTGGGCTGCGGCAGCTGGGTGGTATAGCCTATGCCTATTCCTAGGGGTGGGGTTGATACACAGCTTATCACATTTCTCCAGGGTCGCTCGGACCCCTGGAATTAGCAAGGCTGTGAGAGGGAGTCATGCCGGGTGGGGTGAGCTCTTGAGATTAATGCAGCGGTTTGACTGCGGGAGGGAGGCTTTTCGGCTGTATGGGGGCGGGGAAGAAGGGGCGCAGCGCTGCGGGAGACTTAACTGTGTTTTCCTTGGGCTGCCCAGACAGAGGAAAAAGCTGCTGCAGACTGCAGAAGGGGAGCAGGTTGGGCTGTGAGTGTGGCACCTGATGGAGGAACTTGGGGGAGGGAGGCAAAACCACGGCCTTGGACCCTCTGGGCCTGGTCAGAGGTCTAGTGGAGAAAGTGGGGAGGTTGCCCAGCGACCAGGCTTGGACTGGCCAAGGAGACTCTGATGGTCTGTCTTTGCAAATGCCAGCACAGCTATCTGGGGAGGGATTGTGGGTGGAGGCATGACAATGGGTCCTAGTCCCTTTCTCCAGGGTGAGTGCCAGTTCTACCCAGGCTTGGAGGTAGGGGAAGACAGAGGGTGTCTCTGAGACCCCACCCTGCAGGTAGATTGACTGAGGCTGGAAGTGTGAAGACCTTCAGGGAGGCTTGAGGGAAACCCTGAGCAAGCTTCTCTGATGGAGGGGGTGAGTGAAGTGGGTCCCAGTGCCCTACATGGCGTGGGAGTGGAGGCAAGACACCGTGGGCTTTAGGAGCAGTGGCCCTTTGAGAAAGGATGGGTTTGTGGTGGCTGAGGTGTGGGTAGGTGTGCATGCGTGTGCGTGCGTGCGTGTGTTCGTGCCTGCGTGCATGCCTGCGTGTGTATGTATGTGTGTGAAGGGGTGTTTTGTTGCCGAGCAGCTCATATAGCCAAGTGTTTTTTAACAGTGAGTCAGGAGACTTAGGGCCTAGGCCTGGCTCACCTTGCTGTGTGACCTTGGACAAGTGTGCTGGTTTCACACAGCTCCCATGATTCCATTCACAAACCTGGGCTCGGCGCCGCCGCTCTGCCCCTTATTCAAGGATGTTGTGAGGGCGGTGGGAAACTGTCTCAGAATGATAGTGAGTGGCCTGGGAAGGCAGTCTTTAAAGCAGGCCTGCGGGGAGCCCAGTGCTGGGGATGTTTGCTGGAGTGAGTGTGGTTGGTGCTCACTCAGCCTTTGGACCAGACCTGGCTCCTTGGGAGCTCTTGCTTTGGTTCAGTGACCTGCAACTTTTCAAGTGTAGGATTCATCGTGCTAGACAGAGGGACTACCTTTAATGTTTAACCCAGGGAGGTCACTTTCAGGTGTATGGGGGTTTATTTTGCTTCCTGATTTAAGACACTGGTGCCCTTCCTTCCTGCAGGTTTCAGGTCACCTTCTATCCTTGGGCATCTGAATGGAGAAGCTGCTCCTGAGAACTGCCAGACAGTATTTAGCCCATGAGTTGTGTGTTGCAGGCACAGGGCTTGATGTGTCTTTTAAGAGAAGGTAGCTCTCTGTTCTTGAGGTGCTGGGTTGGAGTTAGAGGTGGCATGACCACCCTATCCCACGGTGAAGGGCACAGGTCTGGGCAGCAGACTGCAAGGGGATGCTGGAGAGGCCAGGGAAGTCTTCTAGGAGGTAATGGGTCTTGAGAAAAGCCAGGACGACAGGCTGTGAGGAAGCGAAACAAAGCTGCAGATGGGCAAACGCTGGGGGTTATTGGAAGTGAGTGATTCAAAAGGCTGGAGAATGGCTGATCCGATCCGTGGGGTCTTCCTTGATCCCTCTCTCCGCTTCTGCTTCCCCAGGGGCTGGTGACTGCATCTGGAAGTGCCCATGACAGAGCTGGTGTCCTCCAGGGAAGGGTCTCCTACGGGGGACGGGGAGGAGGGTCTGGGGGACGACCAAGGCCTGGTTATCCACCACCCGGCAGAGGAACAGCCCCACCGCTGCCCACTGTGCGGCCAGACCTTCTCCCAGCAGCCCAGCCTGGTGCGGCACCAGAAGGCGCACGTAGGGGCAGGTCGCACCGCCGCCTTCGTGTGTCCCGAGTGCGGCAAGGCCTTCAGCGTCAAACACAACCTGGAGGTGCACCAGCGCACACACACCGGCGAGCGGCCCTTCCCTTGCCCCGAGTGCGGCCGCTGCTTCAGCCTCAAGCAGAACCTGCTCACGCACCAGCGCATCCACAGCGGCGAGAAGCCGCACCAGTGCGCGCAGTGCGGCCGCTGCTTCCGCGAGCCGCGCTTCCTGCTCAACCACCAGCGCACGCACGCGCGCATGCCCACGCCACACCCGCGTCGTCCCGGTGTCTTCGGGGAGCGGCGACCCTACTTCTGCCCACGCTGCGGCAAGAGCTTCGCGCGTGAGGGCTCGCTCAAGACCCACCAGCGCAGCCATGGCCATGGGCCTGAGGGCCAGGCAGCCCATTTAGGACGCGTGCTATGACCCGTGGGAGGCCTGCCACCACCAGCTGCCTCCGATCCAGGAGCCACATCCAGGGGTGCTGAGTTGCCCCTGCTCTGGATGGGCTCATGGGAGAGGGGCAGGGCCAGCTTGGGGTGTTGGAAGGGCTTGAGCCACCCCCTTTCCTTCCTCCCCCTGGACCCCTTGGCTGGCTGCATGCATCTGCTATGGGTTCTGCGTTAGTTTGCCTCCTCCGTCTCCTGTGGCCTAGAGCAGGTGAGCCCCAAAGTTTGGCCAGAGTCCCCTGGGGCGTGGAGGTGGTGGGAGTGGGGGGTGGGTGGGTGTACAGTGTTGGCCGTCTAGGTCAGAAGTGGGTGTGGGCAGGCCAGTGTCGGTCTCCATGACTGTTGCTTACCTGATCTTCATTCTCAGCACGTCAGACTTGAAGGCGACTTGGAGAGGGCCGCGCTTTCCACGGTCCCTGGGCCCAAGCTCAGTCCCCAGAGCCTCGGCCTCCTGCACCCACTGTCTGGTGGCCTTGAGAAGCCATTTCACTCCATGTCTCAGTTTGCATATCCGTAAGTGGGGCACGAAGATGAGAGACTTTTCCTTTTCCCTGGGGTGTCGCGAGGCTTGGCTGTTCGCAGACGGTGAAGTCATTTGTCCAGAGAATTTTGCTCAGTAGCTCTGGGTTGTGTGCTCTGCTGCACTCTTGGAAGGACCCCAGGCCCAGGCACTTGGAAGCCCACGCTCATGCCTGTGACCAGGTGTCAGGGTGTCTGCACAGACGTGTGGGCTACAGTAGGGACATCCCTGGGTCAGGAGAATGACTGGCTTCACCTGAGGGGGTTCGAAGGCCCTGCACTGCGTCCTAGAGAGAGAACTGCTGTAGGAAGGGCAGGTGTGCAGAAGGGGGACTTCCAGATGGCAAGGGCTAGGATTTGTTCCACAAACGACTTTGTGTTCAGGGGGAAGGGACCCTAGACGTTGTAATGAGTGCGGTGAGCGCAGACCTGGGATTTAGGATGAGAGCCGAGGCCCCGGGAGCACAGATGATGGGAGAGACGAGGGAGGCCTCAGCCAGAGGACTGAGCAAGGTCACCTGGTGAGAAGGAGAAGTAGCACCTTTAATCCTAGCACTCAGGAGGCAGAGGCAGAGGCAGGTGGATCTGAGTGAGTTCAAGGCCAGCCTGGTCTACAGAGCAAGATCCAGGACAGGCTCCAAAGCTACACAGAGAAACCCTGTAAAAAAAAAAAAAAAAAAAAAGAATGATAAGCAGGGCTTGCTTCCAGGACCCCTGTGTACAAGTTGTCACAATGAGGCTCTGGCCTTTTCTGCCATTTGACAGACAAGGACATTCCAAGGTTTTCCCAAGCCTGTTCCAAATCACGGTTAATAATTAGTGCTACAGTGGGTCAAGGATGGGCTTTGTTTTGGATTTTGGACCCGAAGATCTTTGACCTTTGTTACTGAGTGGTTGGAAAGGCAGTGAGGAGAACTTGGGCTTGTGGGCAGGGCATCGGTGGGTTTGGCAGGTGCTGGGGTGCGGGGGTGCGGGGGTCTCTGAGAGGCCCCTATTCCCTGAGCCCTTGCCTCCTGCTAGGCCTATGTCCGGTGCTGGAGACCCGTCCACTCCCTCTGCTCTCTGCCCTACCTCACTACTGTGTGGCTCCTCTGGACTCACCGGCCTCAGCCTGAGATCCTTGGTGGTTCACAATGTGGACTGCTATTTGGTGGTAGAAAGTCAACAAGGCCCTGGGGTAGCAGGAGCTAGTCAGTCACTCAAGAACTCAGACCCCCAAATAGCCCATGTTGACAGGTTGATAATCTTGGCAGTATTTGTTTGGGGGATGGTGGCAAGAGGGTTGTCGTGAAGTCCCAGATAGATCCAGAGTGGGCCCTGTGAATGTGTCCATGTAGTCCAGATGGGTGTGTGGGCAGGGCCTTCGTTACTACAATGTACTGATCATGACCTCTCTTTCTGTGAACAGATACAAAGCCGACAGGACCTTGTGGCCCAGGACATATCTGGGCATGGAGACTAAGAATGGAGTCCCATGGGGTCCTGGCATCCTGGCATGAGGCTGTGTCTCCTCAGAAGACCTACCTCTGGAGGTGCCCTGTGTTGGTAGAGCTGGGAATTAGAGGCTGGGTCCATGCCTTTGGTGGGAGAACTCCCCAGGTCTGACTTGAGTCACAGCTGGGCAAGCCTCCTTTTGGCTTCCTGCCCCTCGATGTCCACTCACATGTGGAGGCAGACAGCACCTGTGTGGGAGGGCTGTCCTCTCTCTGCAGCCCTGCCCACCACTGGGTTGAGGGACAGAGACAAGAAGCAACTGGTCTGCATCATCGCAGCAAGCTGATGGCTGTCCTGGCTGGAGAGGCAAAACTCCCCTCGAGACATGAGCAGCACCTGAGTGCTCCTGCGCCCTCTCTGAACTAGAAAGGTTAAGACTTCAGGGGCCTGTGGCCCTTTAAGTTCTGATGGAGGCTGTGGCCCTTCTAGAAGTCATATACTCATGTAGCTCTCAAAATACCAAGCGGTTTCAGGAGCCTCGGGACTCCAGACTAAAGACCTCGGCCCTGGGGGTTTCATCTGCCATCCCTTTCTTACTCCGTCCAAGTGTGTCTCTCTCCTCCCGGTCGCCTCTTGTTTGGGAATAAAGCATTCTGAGGCTGAGCCCCTTTAGTCCACCCACCCCTTCTCCCCAATCTAACGACACACCTGATTTGTAGGACCCGGTCTCCCTCCCTCGGCATTGCCCAAGGATCCCTGGGCTTGGTCCTTTCCTCCCTTTTTGTATCTGACAGGCTGTGGGATTTTACAAGGAAGCCCCCTGCTTGGCCTTGACTCTGATTTCACCGTGGAGTCTCAAGGGGAGGCTGGACGGCTGAAGGGATAGTGGATCATTTTCTCTGTGTCTGCCCCAGGGAGAAGGAATCCTGTTTCCTTTAGCCCTACGCAACCCATCAGGCCTCTTGGTTGGCCAAGACTCTCCCCTGGGAAGGTGTGGGTAGAAAGGCACCAGAGCCCTGCATGGGCATGTGCCCATGGGTCTAGGCAGAGGGAGAAGCCGGTGGAGGAGTTGTGTGTCCCCTAAGCAAGCAGGGGGTACAAGTAGGGGGTGTGGGTCTTGGGCTACTGTTAGTCAAGGACTCCTGTCTTCAGATGTGAGCAGGTCAGTCGGGAGGCTGTGGATATTTCTCTTTTTCCCTAGAATGAACCACTCATTAGGAAAGGGGAGGCTTCTCTTTTCTGCTAGGGCTTGGTAGGAGCCTGTGGATTCCTAACCTGGGGTCTTACTGCCTGTGTCCCCCATGCAGTTTGGGTTACAGGTTCTTACTGAACCCCTATGCCTTATTCTGGGGGTCACTGAGTACTAAAGCAGTCTGAGAAAGGGGCGCATTCCCCGGACCCCAGGGACTCCCATGCGGCTCTTTTTCCTGGCTAGTCTAGAGGAGCCCTCGCCGCGCCCCTCAGCTATCTGCTCAGCTCGTCTCTTCCCTGCTGTAGCTGTGCCCTGCCTTCCCCTGTACTGCCCCGAAATGTTCTTTTCCCCACCCCCAAAACCTCCCTTCTTCACCAGGGCTGAGCCTCCCAGCACCCCACCGCCATGCTCCCTCCGGACAGTACTCACGTTAACACGCGGTGTCTCCCTTGAGTACTGTGTGCTGTGTAGTCTTGTGCACGCTGCTTCTGTGTCTGTGTATGCGTCGTATACGTGCTGTGTGTGTGCACGTGTGCACCTCTAGTCCCCAACCAGACTGTGAGCTCCCTGAGGGCAAGGGGCTGTCATTTCTTCTTCAACCCCAAGTGGGTCCTAGCACAGGGCTGGGCTCCTGACTCTCAGGAAAGCGCTTGTCAACCGGCTGATGGGAGAAATGTCGGAGGTTGGGGGTGGCGTGGGAGCTGTGCAAGGGGAGAGTGCACTGGAGTTAACTACGGATGCATTGGGTCGGGTTGTGGGCTGGCTCCTTGGATCAATAATGGATGCTCGAGGCCTCAGGTCCTTGCATTTTGGGGGTGGTAGAAGCAGAAGGGACACCCCCCCCCAACACACACTATGGCTACACAGGAGTGTACTTGAATAGATGCCCAGGTTGGGTAATCCTGGAAGTCCCTGACACCTGTTGGAGTCGACTCAAATAAATGTTCTCTACAACAGTTGGTATGTGCGGCAGTCTTTGGGGGACATGGCCAGGAGGGGGTAGTGGCTTCTACCTCAACCTGTGTCTTGGCCCCCATCACTTGGGGAATTTCCTCCAAGGTAACATGGACTGGTGTTCAAAGCGGAATAGTAACCAAAGACTGCAGGGAGCAGATCAGCAGCTACAGCAGTTAGCACAGACCTCCCTGTCCAGGTAGTGACTACTACTGGGGTCTGAGTCACCCTCAGCCCACAGGGGAGCAACACCTGCTCAGAAGCTTTGAGGTGATTCCCACTGGCTCCCAAGCACTGGGCCACCAAGAAGATCTGAGTCAGGAGACTGGACTCCAGGGTGGGCCATCGGCCAGTCACATCTCTTCTGATTGTAGTCCTAACAGCCTGCTCTCTGACTTCGTAGAGCCGGGGTGAGAACAAACAAGTCAGACAGAATTGATGCAAATTCAAAGCATGGCCTCACCCATGCTCCCATCCTAAGGGGGAGCCTGTCACAGACCTCATTTTCTCTAGTGCAAGTGCAAGTGTGTAGGGTCCGGACCCAACCATGGCTGAGGAGTACTCTAGATTCTGCCATTAGCCAAGGAGGATCATGAGTGGGAAGTCACTCCGGGTCAGTGCCTGTGAAGCCTGGCTCTAGGGTGAGGGGATGGGTAGAGCGGTCAGGGCTGATTTCCGTTCACATTGCCCAAACTGAAGGCGACAGCAGGGCCCACCCCTCTCTTACTCTGTCCCCAATCCCAGGCAGAAGCAGCGGCTGTGCCCCCTGCCTCTCTTGGCTGAGTTCCTCACTGTGAGCTTCAGACAGGGTTGCAGGCCTGGCTCAGCCTGAGCTATGGCCTGGCGAGGACTTTAGGAATGGCTGGATCACAACCCTTCAGAGTCCTACCTGTCACTCACAGGGTGAGAAAAGGGGAAGAAAACCTATGTGTTTGCACCCATAGGTGTGTGTGAGTGTGTGTGTGTGTGTGTGTGTGTGTGTGTGTGTGTGTGTGTGTGTGTTCCTGTGTGTTTGCACCCATGGGTGTGTGCTCTCTGGGCATTACTGTCTCCTGGGAGCTTGTTATGTGAAGCCATGGGTCCAACCCCAGACTTGGCTTGGAAGCTTCATTTTAAAAAGATGTCATCCACACTGGGGAACTGTGCACCCTCTGAGGAGGACCTTCTGGCTCAGGTATTCCATTGGCCCTCTTCCCTTGGGGTGGGGAGGAGGAGATGGAGATGGGTTTTTTTTTTTTTTCCTCTTGGGCAAGCTTGAGGGATGTAGAGGCCTGAGAGGGTTCAGTACCTTCACGGGGTCTATCCGCCAGTACTGTTTGTTACCACTCTCTGGTCCCGGGGACTGGCCATATCAGCAGGGCCCATCCTCACCTGGCTTGTACAGCCCAACTTAATGGGAATGGGCGGGGATACAGGACACAGCAGAGAGTGAAAGGCTAAGAAATAACAAGTCTTGGACCAAAATGTCGCATCTTTCCTGAAGCAGGCTCCACCCCTTGTCTATACATCTTGCCTCAGCTGCTGTGTTCTGACACACCAGAGCCCCACCCCAAGTGAAAGAATGTCTCTGTGTGTGCTCTTGGTGTCCCTTGTCCCTTTTATAGCTTTGCTGATTGTTGGCCATTGTGATAGTTAATATTGTCATCTTGAGAGGACCTAGGCTCACCCAGGAGACGCCTCTGGCCGTGCCTGTGAAAAATTATCTAGATTAGGTTAATTGAGATGAAAAGACTCACTTTAACGGTGGGTGGTACTATTCCACCCGCTGGATCAAAAGAAGAAGGTGAGCTGAGCACCAGCTTTCATCTTTCTGCCTCTTGACTGCAGATGCCACATGACCAGCTGCCTCCTGCTTCTGCGCCCCCCCGCCCCATGCTCCTTCCCACTGCTACCATTCCGCCCCTGCCATGAGGGAATGACGCCTTTGAACTGGAAGCCGGAACAAGCCCTTCCCCTTTAGACAGCTTCTTGTCAGGTATTCGGTCTGAGAAGTGAGAATTAATACAGACACCAGGGCTTACAGCCGCCCAGCCTGGGCGTCGCCTCACTCCTGCCCTAGCTGAACTGGAAGCTGAGAATGGGAAGCAAGGAGCTTTGTTGCAGCTGACGCTCAGAGTTTCCGGGAGAGCCGAACAGACGGGGTCTCCTGAGGAGACATAGCTGGGGCATCCTGGCTCTGCCCTGTGCTATTTGCTCTTTCTCTGGAACCTTCCTAAGAATCTCATCCTGCCAAACGAAAATCCCTGTTTCAGGCTCTGCTTCCTGGATGCCCCATTGAATGGGACAAGGTCTTTGAAGAGTGAGAGCCAAGCTCTTGCCCACACAAGACAGTTCTGTGCGATACTGGTTAGCTGTGGGTCTTCAGTAAAGAACTGTCGCTGGGTTCATGGGTGGTAGATGACAATGGACAAAGGGATCCAAATGCTGGCTGGGTAGTCCCCCAGTGGAGGCACAGTCCCTTTTAGCTGGGAACAAGAGCTGAGAGCAGAGTTCAGAGGTACGGGCTGGGGTCCCATCTGACTGTGCGGCTTCGAACAAGGTCTTTACCCATTTGAACTTCTCCTTCTGATCTCTGACCAGAGCTGGGCAGAGGAGTCAACTGTGGGAGTCACTCCAGGGTGTGCCCTGCCTGGACTGCTGGCCTGAGGGTACAGACCCACAGGGGCTGATGATAGGCTGTGTCCAAAGCCCTTGGGAACGTGAGGCATTCCTCCTGTCCAACTCTGCAGCTGGGTCTCCAGGGGCAGGCAGCAGGGGTCCCAAGATGGTGTTCCCCTTCTTCTGGTCTCTGAGATGCTTCTCGGTTGCCACTCCCCAGCACAGCAGCCACCATCTCCGCCCTGCAGCAGATGCCTGATGAACTGCAGTGTGGTGTCTATTTTTCTTTAGGCACAAAATCCTCAGTCATTGGCAGTTTCTAGCAGCATTCCAGGAGAGTCACCTTGGAGCAGACTTTGTTTCCGGAACGCCGTAATTGAATACTCGCTGCTGCTCTTGGACTCAGTGGGACCTCACAGCTGCTTCTGATCGTGGGATCGCCATTCCACCTCATAATAACCATTATGAACTGAGTACAGCCCAGAGTGGGGAGCTCTGGTGTAGGAAGGAGCCGGGATTTTCCTTATGAGGGCCTGAGTTGGTCCTCATCTGGCACCTGGATAAATGCTAGGGGACCGACAGGGTCCCCCAGGACTATCTTGTGGATTCAAGAGAACCTTTGCAGAAGTCTTGGCAAGGAAGGCTCCTGGGGTGGGTGGCAGGGAGGTGCACTGTGTGTCCTGAGAGTTGAGGGAGGAATTGGCTGATGGGCAGAAGTGACAGCGTCAGCAGACCTATAACTTTCTACAGGCATAGTGTGGGCCCTGGGGGTGTGGGGGAGGAGCAGGCTACATGAGTCCCAGGACTGTGAGAAGCTACATCATGTTTGGATCACAAGAGAACTGTACTTCATGCTGTCGGGGGGATACTCTGACCATGGCTTCCTGCACCTCCTATCATGTGCTTCCCTTGGTAGCTGCAGCTCCGTGGCTCAGGCTTGCTTTTCTCCTTTATACCACAGCTCTTAGCTTTGGTGGGGCCCGGAACATATTACCCCCTATTATGGCATTTGAACATGGAAAAATGGCAGGCAGTCATCAGATGGTCACTTTCACCATCCCCCTTTCTACTCCCCTGAAGAGGCCACTGATCTCTAAAGTAGGCCAGAGCCTTTATTCCAGAGGAGTCTTCTCTGTGTGAGGGGAATGGAAAGCCGTGCAGACTGGGAGGAACTGGATCCAACTGGTCTTGCTGACTTTGTGTTACTGTTGGCTAAGAACAGCCCTTGGTTCTCCAGTCACATTCTAGCACAGCTGTCTGAATGGACAGCTCAGCCAGGTTTCCCTGCCTCTGAGTTTATTTCTGTCAGCTCTGGCACCACATAAAGCTGACATGCAATAGGTCTGTGTGCTTATCGCCTTAGCTTGTCTTTCATTGTAGGTTTCCATCACAGGCCCGAGGTGGTGGCGGGGTTGGGGGCGGGGGGAGACTTCTTTCCACCACTCTGCTCCACTGTTCCTGACGTCTTTCTTGTGGATGGCCCAGGCAGATACTGGTGTGCCTGTCACTGTCCTCATTAGGATGTCTCTTGACTAGACTCCTTTCTTCCCACACCATCTGTGTTGCCCTGAGCCCTGGTCCTCTGGCTGTGTCAGGTGACAGAGTCCTAAAGTGTAAATATCGGCCAGTTTCAAATTGTCATGATCTCTCATCTATTGCAAATAAAAGCTTCTATATATTAAAAGATTTAAAAAATATATGCAAGAATTCAGGTCAAAGAAAAGAATTGCAATGGAATAAATATCTGTGAACATGTAACTTTGAGAACATTACATTTAAAAACTTGTGGGGCAGAACTGAAACAGTAATTACAGGAAAACATTGATGAGAAAAAGAGAAAATGTGGGGATCTAAGAGTGAAAAGCCCAGCTTTCAGGCCAGGCATGGTGACAGATACCTGTATTGCAGAACTCCTGGAGGCTGAGGATGGCAGGGGACGGAAAGTTCCAGGCCAGCCAGTTTATTAAAGTACACAATATTTTGGGGAACACAATACCACCACATTTCCTCTCTTTTTGTCTAAAATTAAAGAAAGTTTATAACTAATACAAGAAAAACTATCCAATAATCTAAAAAGATACTAAAAGATAAGCTTATCTTATTTAAAATTTATTACCTTGCTTCAACACAATGATAATAACAAACAACAAAACAAATCCAATTTAAGTTAGCAAAAGTGGGCAGGCGGTGTAGCTCAGAGGCAGAATGCTAATGCTTGCCCTGGTTTGATTCCCAACACTGAAAAAAAAAAGATAAAATGTCAAGATATGCTTACAAAAGCAGAAAAGTTGCAATAAAAATAAAAAATGGATGGGTTACAGAATAAAATAATATCAAAGAGAATAAATACAATCAAAATGACTTCTTTGAAAAGACTAAACAGAGGAACCCCCACCCAACTGTG